GGAGACATCGTGAAGCCTGTTACGACAAGACGCGGTCTGGCGTAAACCTACCTTGTAATTAATGTTGTTCAATGACTAAATGTATCCGCGTTAGCTGATTATGATGCCTTATCTTATCATGTTTTTAACATCGTGGTCATTTTGTTCTGAATAAATGTATCAGCGTGTTGTAGCCGGCTGTGATTCTATTTGTGAGTTGCTGTTTTGTAATATAAACCTGTTTTTACATCATTGTCATGTCCTAACTGTCCAGTGGATGGTGGTTTTGTCTCAACCATTATAAACAAGGTAGGTTTACGCCAGACCGCGTCTTGTCGTAACAGGCTTCGCGATGTCTCGCTGCCTGTTTCTCCAATCCGCGCCTGGCGTAAGTACCTACCTTGGCCTGCGGCGCTAGCCTGCCTGCGGCAGGCAATGGCTTGTCCATTGTTGGTTATTTTTTAACTTGTTGAATGCTGGGGGGCTCCGCCCCCCAGACCCCCCTACATTCTAAATAGAGTTGTTTTATCTACAGATAACACGATCTTGACCCTTGTCACTTTTTAACTTGTCGAGGCTGGGGGGCGGAGCCCTCCAGACCCCCCTTTCTCCGAGACAGAAGTGATCTAGCGGAAAACTCGATTTTTCGCCGGTTTTTAGGTGTTTTTTGGCTATAAAAACTGAACCATTTGAGCTAGGGTAGTGAAATTTCGCGTGTGCCGAGCCAAGGACGTACCCAAAGAGTGTGCAAAATCTCACCGAGATCGGCCGAGCCGTTCAGGAGGAGTAGTGCGGACACACAGACAGACAGACACACAGACAGACAGACAGAAAAAACTTTTCAACCCCACTGGAGTAACAGGCTTCGCTATCGCTCAGCCAATGACACCCAGGGAATAAGACATGCTACTCGTCCATGGTTACCAACAGATACTGGTACGTCGGTGACTCCCCGGCTCGACACGGTGGTTGCGACTAGAGATTAAGGACCTCGGGGGACTCCTGAGCGATTCTCACGTTTCGGGGTAGTTTTGGCGTCTCTGATTTGCCGAAAGTGAAAAATATCCAATTAAGTTTTTCTGCCAAGGTAGGTTTACGCCAGACCGCGTCTTGTCGTAACAGGCTTCGCGATGTGTCGCTGCCTGTTTCTCCAATCCGCGCCTGGCGTACCTACCTTGGCCTGCGGCGCTAGGCTGCCTCCGGCAGACAATGCTTGTCCATCATCAGTTATTTCTGAACTGTTGCATGCTGGGGGCCCCCAGTCCCCCTTCATTCTAGATAGAGGTGCTTCATCTACAAATTACACGATCTTGACCCTTGTAACTTTTCAACTTGTCGTGAGCCCCCCAGACCCCCCTTTCATCCAGACAGGAGAGGTCTACCGACAGAAAACTCGATTTTTCGCCGTTTTTTAGGTGTTTTTCGGCTATAAAAACTGAACCACTTGAGCTAGGATGGTGAAATTTCGCGTGTGCCGAGCCAAGAACATACCTAATAACCCTGCGAAATCTCAGCCAGATCGGCCGAGCCGCTCAGGAGGAGTAGTGTACACACACAGACACACAGACAGACAGACAAAACTTTTCAACCGCACTGGAGTAACAGGCTTCGCTATCGCTCAGCCAATGAAACATCGTCGGGCATGTTATCTCCTCCAGCAGTTGTTCTTCGGGTGTCCTGCAGACGTCCAAAAATCTACATTACAAGCTGCCGTTGGCCGCCTCAGCATTAACTGATAGGCTGTGTCAATCCTAACCTCACTTTTTTTTCAATTTTAGAGGAAAGCATAGAATAACTCGCTTTAAAATGCATTTTGAGCTGTGTAAATGTATTGGAATAAAACAGCAGATGATTCGAGAAATAACTCAAGCATTTAACAGAAAAAACTACTTACATCCTTCTTTTTATACGGGTCTGTTTCGAATCACCCCAAATGCCTGTTACGCAAGAAATACGTCCCTATCTATCACTGGAGAAAGTAAAAGCAACTTATGCCACGTGATTACATTGTAAAGGGGTCACGCTTCAAGGCCCCAACGGTACTTCGATGGTGATTCATACCTGGGGAGCCTCAGACAGAAACTTCCTAGAACTCAAAATAAAAGATTTGCCTGTTTGCCGAAATTTCGGTGTACCCTTTATTTCAGACGCCCTCCAATACTATACCTGAGCACCGATCACATCCGCTTCGATTGTTCAAGGACCCTGTACTTGAGGCGAAAGAGGGGCCATACTCAGATTTTCCTCTGCTCCCTCCACTTAAATTAAGGCCAGGGACAGGTGAAAAAATGAAGAAGTTTGGTGAAATTGAATGAAATGAGTTCTGGGTGGAAAATGATCCTTTGGACCTTCCTCTTTCAGGATCTGTCGGGACTTCGACTATCCGGGACCTGGAAGTGCTTAAAATACATCTTTTCGCACACTCCTGCATTTACGACACTTTAGTAAAATTGTCCGTTTTGCCATCAAGGGGGGAAGGGGGGGGTCTAGCGAAAATCTTGCCATTTTCAAAATGAACCCCACTGTCATAATTTGTTGGGAATATGAAATCATACTTCAAAGAGACTAAGATTTGATTTTTGAAGGCATATGCTAGGTCTTGAACCCAGTCGAATTGTCTTTTTTGGACTGTTTTGGCTTTATTTAGCCGTATCTTGAACAATCCTCTTGCGCATACTATTTTGACGTAAAAGGCTTATCTTCACATTTTGCACTTCTTCGATTCATTTTAAAAAGATTCCAGCATGCCTAGTTCAAAATTTCCATTATGTTAGTAATCACATGCTTTTTTCATCTAAGAAGTCACTAAAACTTGTCTATTTTGTACATTGTTGATATCAACAATAATTAATTTAAGTGAAATGCATGCTTTAGAAGCTTGCCAATGATAATGTAATGGACATTTTCAGTTGTGCATGCTGGGATCTTTTAAAAATGAATCGAAGAAGTGAAAAATATCCAGGTCAACTTTTTACGACAAAATAGTATGCGCAAGGAGATTTTTTTGGCTGAAAATCCATTAAAATCTGTCACCAAACTTTAAACGCCCTTTTCTCCGAAGACATTTTTTTAACATTTGAATGGTCCTGTGCGCATACAGTTTGAAGTGTCGTCAATGATATTTTTTCCACTGACTCAGTAGGTTATTGCGAGGAAACGCAAGTGACAGTTTTTGTACCCAGAAGTATGGTTTTGGATATCGGTTTTTACAAAAAAAGGGAAAATCTTTGGTTTTTGAAAAATATCAAAATTGAAAAGTTGGTATTTTGCTATCAGTGCCGGAAACTAAAATCTGTCACTTGCGTTTGTTCTTTGGACTTAGACGAACAAAAAAATATGTCGGTCAGGTCAATAACCCAAAATGGGAAACGCACAGGAATTTTTTAACAAACACTTAAAAAATTATAAAAAAGCCTGTATCTCAGGAACCGCTTGATATTATGGGATGGGATTTTGGGTGAAATAGTTTATCATCAAGAGTAAGATTTTGACAGAAAATAAGAAGTTTTGGACCAGCAGTTTCTGAGATCATTTTTTCACCTGTCCCTGGCCTTAATAAACGCATTTGTTACGAATCGCCCCAGTTACAAATCGCCCCATACTCCCTTACCCACCGCGAAAGAATTGATGTTTTTGCTTTGAACGCAGCGCAGCGCCAGCAGCGGAATAACAATCTCTATCCAGGATGCAACGGGATGAAGCAGCGAGTGCATCGCTTGAAGGTTGTCTTCTCTGGTTGGTCACTGAAAATCGAATGCATTTTCATTCCAGGAACGTGAGTGATATCACGCTGATACGAATGTGACAAAATGTCACGTTCAGCATTATGCCCCGTTCGTTTAAATGTGAACGAGCTAATTGATGCCTGATTCACATGTAAACGAATGGGACACAATGCTCAAAGGATTGTGACATTTTGTCACATTCGTTTCAACGTGGCGTCACGTTCCTGGAATAAGAGATGGGTGGGACAAAAAGTCACGCCGGAAAACTGCGTGACAGGAAAGCACGCCGAAAAACGGCGTGCCTGCCTTTCCTGGCGCGAGTGTACCAGGGATTGGTGGTCACTATATCTTAAAGTCATGCCAAAAAAAAAAACGGCAAAACGCTGAAGTAAAACGTACTCTGAAAACGTTACAAACTATTTTAGGCCTAACAAAGAAAAGCAAATACTTTGTAATTTACGAACTATATCTTCGCAGACAGGATGCTTTTTGGACGAGACATCACAGTTTTTTGTACACACAAACTTTTCGTACGCATCTGTACAAAATTTTGTACAATTTTGTACCAAAATGGCGTAGAATGTGCAGTTTTTCGTACGAAAATTGTACGAAAATTTCGTACACACAAAAAACTAAGATGTCTCGTACAAAATTGTACATATCATTTAGAGCGTGCCCCTGAAACGGCACAAAGTCACGCCAGTGGTTTTCCAGTGTTTGGTTTCCAGAATTGGAGCAGTTCAGATGCACGTCGCTACCTCACTCCGTGTACCAGTTGTCCAGCGATTTGAGGCCTCTGTCGTTTGGCCCAACGAACCGTCACGGCGCTAATAGCTCACGCGCCGCACGAAAGGTTAAAATGTGGACCGCGGTAAAAGATCAGCACCGCCAACAATGCTCTTCCGCGTGGCTCAAGGGCACACGCAGCGCGTCCGTCACGGACACACGGGGCAATGCACTGAAAAGAGCCGAAAAGTGACTAGAGCGATTGCTTCAGAACGTGTTTTTGCAGTGTTCGAAAGTGATGACGCTGCAAATGAAAGTGTGGGACAGTCCCACACTTGATCCAGGAAACGGAAAAAGGGAATAATTCGACTTACACCGTACGGCCAGCCTAGCCCTAAGAACGCCTAAAAATAGCCTGTTATCGATATGCAGTTCACCTACGGTGTTTGAGACTCCCTGTCCTTAAATTTTGCAGTGCATTCCGATAAGACCATGACGGACCCCAAAAAGTGATTAGAATTTTTCTTATCAGGCTCGCACTGCAATGGCTTTGACTAGACTAGCACCAGATGAGCGGCCACCGTCCTCAGTGTCGAAAGCAGTTGGTTTAAGTGTCGCTTTCAAACGTCTCCAGCTGTAAGTATGCATCCAATTCTATTCGATCACGCCCTCTCCGTGTGAAAATATGCAGTCTGGTTTGGAACAGGGTTGGAACAGAACTTTAGTTCTACTTTCAAAGCGTAGTGTGGTAGAACCGAACAGTTCAATGTTCACTGGGAATCCGGGAATGAGACGTCACGTTCGCTTGAACGTGAATCACGTCACGTTCGTTTGAATACTGCGTCCCACTCGTTCGGATGCGAATCGGCTGTTCTCGAGCCTAGAGGAGGCCGCATTCACGTTCAAACGAATGTGACATAGTTGGGCGAGACGAATGGGCATGGAATAAACTTGTAAGCTTAAATCAGCAGGAGGTCTCGACCATCATTTTAGTCCTGCGGCCACCCCATAGGCCCGTCGTTCCACGAGGGTCTTACCACATCTCCGACACGAAAAATTTAACTACAAATTTGGACAAAAATCATACTTGAGGTGAACGCATAGGTTCCGACACATTGTGATTGCTTTGAAAGTGTAGTTTTATTGACGAGTGATGTATAAGAACTTGAAATTTTGTCAAACATTAATAGCATTTTACTGTTATATGTTTAGAATCGCTGAGCTCGTTGCCAACCTTTGCACCAAACATTCTTATAAAAAGCTGTTACCACTTAAAATTTGAAATAGCTATTTTGTGTCTGTGGGTATGGTAAAGTAGACTCGAATTTGCAGTTTTCGTCTTAGAAAGTTGCGGAACCTTTAGAAATGCGTTATTTTAAGTGTTTGACACGATAAAGTCCGGAAAACAGCGATACGGCGACTTTCGATTTTCGGTTAAAAAGTTGCGTTTTTAGTAGGGACTTGGGCGATGGCGGGGTTAGGGGACGGCATGTTGACGCGGCGGCGCTGCCATCTAGCGGTCGGTCGCGGTACTACGTCGGAAGGACTTCCACTGTGTATAGCTGTCAAATTGACCCGGCGTGCTCGGCGTAGTACTTCCCTTGAAAATGTCTCTATTACAAGTGCGCTCACTCAAAGACGTCTATAATATATTTAAAAGATCTGAGAAGGAGGTAATTGAGCTCTTGCTACAAGAGGGTCTACTTCAGACTTTAAATCGCTGCCCAAAGTGCCGAACGAAGAGGACACTCAACAAAAACAAAGAGTACAAAGGTATTTTCGAATCTAAATCTATAAATTATTATTAACTGAATCAAATATTAATGTGATTGTCCTCTCGGCAGGTGGGTATGCTTATTACTGTAAAAAGTGCAAAAAGTTCAAGAGCCTAACTGACGGCACTTTCTTTGAGACGACGAAGATAGATTTTGAAGCCTTCTTTGTATTGCTGTGGCTGTGGTGTTCACATGCCAGTGTTAAAGTTACGATCAACCTCATAGGTTATACTAAAGTTACTGTGGTACAGTACTATCGGTACTTCAGGGACATATGCTCCTGGAAGCTTTTGACTAGTGAAGAACAAACCCTAGGAGGAGAGGGGTATACAGTGCAGATTGACGAAAGTGTGGTGGCAAAGCGGAAGTATAATCTGGGTAAGAGGGTCAAGACAACGTGGGTATTGGGGATGATTGACACTCAAACTAAGGAAAGTGTCATCCTGTATGTTCAGAAGAGAGATAAGGCAACCCTCATACCTGCGATTAAACGGCATGTCAAACCAGGAACCATGATATGGACCGATTGCTGGAAAGCATACGACAGCCTATCAAAGGAAGGTTACCTTCATGACACAGTGAACCATAGCAAGAATTTTAAGAGTGCCACAGGGGTGTGCACAAATCGAATCGAAGGCCACTGGAACTGCTTGAAGAAGTATTGCCGAACAAAGAACGTCATGAATAGCAAATTATTTTTTTTTGAGTACGTGGATGAGTTCATGTGGTCGCAAAAGTATGGACTGGATGTCCATTCTAAATGGACCATCATGATTACCCAGATAAAAGAAAAGTATCCTTGCTAAGGTTGATTTATTGTTTTTGTGAATGTTCTAGAGTTCTTAGAGACACGTTTACTTTGTTGTTTAGTTCAAAGTTTATTTTGTGATCCATAGAAGGGTAACTATTAGGGAAAGAATAAATTAGACCTCAATGAAATCACCCTTCTATTTAATAGCTAAACATACCCCTCTAAGTTATGACATACTGATGCTGTCCTGGCCTTGGCTCGCCGTTCAATGATGCAATACAGCCCAAGTACATATCATAGGCCCAGGAATTGTTCCGCCGTTGGTAGCCGGACTCTGGGTCGTTCCAGTAGTCGAACAATTTGATCAGTTTGTCGATCCGGTTGGGGCACTTGAGCCGGGTGCGAAAGAAACGGAGCGCGGCCGACATGTTGCTCCCGTTTTGGTAGCAGAAGGACGCGATCAAGATCCGTTCCCTGTAGTGGAGGTCACTCCAGAATGCCCTTCGATACTGGACTTTCATTGGGCCCCAATTGTAGGGATCCCCCAGATCCTACAGGACCTCCTTCCAGGCAAGATACAGCGGGCACTTCGGCATGTTGACAGCAGTACAGTGGCAGTCCTCCCGACGTAGTACCGCGACCGACCGCTAGATGGCAGCGCCGCCGCGTCAACAAGCCGTCGCCTAACCCCGCCATCGCCTAAGTCCCTACTAAAAACGCAACTTTTTAACCGAAAATCGAAAGTCGCCGTATCGCTGTTTTCCGGACTTAATCGTGTCAAGCACTTAAAATAACGCATTTCTAAAGGTTCCACAACTTTCTAGGACGAAAACTGCAAATTCCAGTCTACTTTACTATAACCGTGTATTTCATTGCATAGTAATAATCAAAGTCCAATTAAGAAGATGAAGATAGCATAGTTGAATAAAAATCGTGTTTTTCCTAATATTGCATGTTGACACAGTAGCTCAATGGCGGCATCGAACGAGCGTCCACCGCGCACCGGGTTGAAGCAAAGGAACATAATAGCACATGACATGTTAAGAGCAGTTGTTTGAATCCTTAAATGTTTCAATTATTATTTTTTATAAATGGACAATGGTTTTGGAAAGTACTTATAGTAAACTTTTGATGCGCGGGGCATGAAAATGTGTCATGACATAGAACAGTACGAATCAACAAACTAATAACATATCAAATCCTAAAACATCGGCTCGACTAATAAGGCAAGCCTTGAGCTAGTATTCAAACTAACGTGACACGATTCACGTTTAAACGAACGTGACGTCACATTCCCAGATTCGCCACCAGATAAACCACACACTAAATGTTTTAGAATTTTGTCCGTGCCACTTGCACGATTTTGTGCATGCGGGGAATTTGCATAACATTATGCGTGAAAATGCATAAATTTATCCAAATCACGCACAATTTTATGCATGACGGCACACAAGTTTAAATTTATGCATCACCACGTACAAAATTGTATACATAAACATTTAGTGTGCAGCCGGGGGCGGGCAGGAGGGGTCATTAGAAAGCTCGCGGGAGAGCTGCTCGTTCCGGAGCCACTCCCTGGACTAAAGTAGGAGGTAGCAACACGGCACTTTTGAGCGCTCCGTGCGGTAGTGAGGCCCGGCCCCCCACGACCGCCCCAGCCGGTGCCGGCCTGTTGTGAGCCTAGCTAACCTTTCAGAAACACACTGTTTTTGTACGTTATTTGGTGGCAATAGTCAGTCTCGTTTGTAGTCAGTTCCCTCGTTCACACTAAATGTTTAGGTAGAATTTTATACGTGCAACATGCACGATTTTGTGCATACGTGAAATTTGCATAATATCATGCGTAAAGATGCATAAATTTATGCAAATTCACGCACAATTTTGTGCACGACGGCACACAAGTTTAAAATTATGCATCAGCACGTACAAAATTGTACATAAACATTTAGTGTGTTCATTTTATTATCTATCGATCAAGCACAGAAGATATTTTCTTTGTGCCAAAATCGCAAAGAATTTTTGCTTAAGTGAAACGTCAACGGGGCGCCGCGGCCAGTTGCAGCGGCTCGCATCAGCAAAAATTCTCTGCGATTTTGGCACAAAGAAAATATCTTCTGTGCTTGATCGAAAGATAACGAAAGGAACGAGAGAACTGACTACAAACGAGACCGACTTGCCACCTAATAACGAACAAAGACAGTGTTTTTCTGAGAGGTTAGCTATGCTCACAACAGGCCGGCACCGGTTGAGGCGGTGGTGGGGGGCCGGGCCTCGCTAGCGCACGGAGCGCTCAAAAAAACCTTGTCGACTTGGCGTGGAATGACTAGGATAGTGTCGTCAAAATGGCAATATTCGTCTTCTCTGCGTCGAAGACAACGCAGAAAAATGAGGTCAAATGTCCACCGCAGCTGCGTTACTTTTGGGGCACCGCAGATAGTTTCACCACGGATTTTTGGGTTGGAAGTACCTCATTTTGAATACTATCAGTGGAGATACCGAGCCAGGGAGCGCACCGCCCACCTCGAGCCCAGGGAGCCCCTCCCGAAGGAAGAGCTCTCGGGCGTGATTCCGTGCGTAGGGGGTCATTTCAGGTCATTGGGGTCTTGCGCCTGAACTCAGGTTGATCGGGTAGCTTGTGCAATTCAAATTTGTTTTACTAAACGAGGACCACACTGCAAAAAAACCACAGTAAATCCCGTTAATTTTTTTGCCGGGATTTACTGTAAGGGAGCATGGGGCGATTTGTAACAGGGGCGATTCGTAACACATGTCCTAATTTCCCATACGGGGGGTTCCGAATACGAATATGAATGTGAACTTTTCTCCGCCTAGGCGACTTGTTTGATTTGCAATCGACTCCGTAGGGTGCAGTGCTGTGGCATGGCCGCTGTTTTTGTCTCTATTTTGTGATACCACGAACACAGGTAAAACTTGAATATCTGACTTTCAGGACTTTCCGTCTGTGGCCCTGAGTAACCAATCCCTCTTCACGCAACTTTTGGTTTACATAGTATCGTCCTTTACGAATGTAATCCAACTGTGGATTCTGTCATAACCTAACTTGGTTATTATTTGGGGCGGTTTGTGAAAGCCTATACCCACTGGGGTGATTCGTAACAAGGAGCATGGGGCGATTTGTAACAAGAGGTGCGAGAGAGGTGATTGGTTCCTGGACTGAATATTCCTCTCCTGAGCCATTCCAATTGATGTTTCTCATCTAAACATAGCAACTAATGTTTGTTTCATGTTTTTTTTTTCAGCCATGGTTCGTAATTATCAAAAAAAAACAAATCGTGTAAGGACAAACCCCTGCAAAGTCCAAAGAGGACTTCAGTTAATCAATCTTGGCTACAGTGTCAGAGCGGCTGCCAAGGAATGCAGCGTAAATTATGGCCTATTGTTTCGAATGCACAAGAAAAGCAAAACAAATGAAAATGCAGAAAATCAAGATCTTCCAGTGTTGCAGCCTCCAGGTGGAAAGACTATTTTCTCAGTGGACCAAGAAGAATCTATAGCGGCATACTGCATGGACATGGCTTTGATTGGCTATGGTCTGTCAACATCAATGGTTCGGGAGCTAGCATATGAAACTGCTGAGTTAAACCAAATCAGTGTGCCACCAAAATGGAAAACTGATTGACTAGCTGGGATTGACTGGTTCCATGGTAAGTTTTATTTTTCCTCTTTCACACAATGTTTTACTTTTCTTGTTTATTTATTTGCCACTATTTTTTATATGTTATGTTTGCAGGGTTCATGAAGAGACACCCGCAATTATCTATTCGAACACCAGAAGCTTGTAGTCTGCAACGAGCAGCAGCGTTCAACAGACACAATGTCAATACCTTCTATGACAAGCTCGAAGATTGTCTGAAACGACATCCACGCTTTGCTGATGGCTCCAGAGTCGGAAACCTTGATGAAACTTCAAACAACACAGTGCAAAACACTCGGAAGGTTGTCTGTCCCAAGGGTGTGAAACAAGTGCACAAAATCAAGTCAGCTGAACGAGGAGTCTCTGTTACAACGTGCTGCATAGTGACTGCTTATGGCTCAATCATTCCCCCAGTTATGCTGTTTCCTAGGAAAAAATTTGTGAGCTCTATGTTGATAAACGCCTATCCAGGGACTCTGGGCCTTGCCAATGAAAATGGCTATATGACCAAAAGTACTTTTGTGTCTGTTCTAAATCATGTAATTAAGCACACTTGTGCAACTAAGGATAATCCTTTTCTTCTCTTAGTAGATAATGTTGAAACTCACCTTAGTGTTGAGGCATTGAATGTTGCCAAGGATAATGGGATAACAATTCTGACATTCCCTCCCCACTGCACACATCGACTGCAGCCCCTTGATGTGTCACTTTTTGGACCGTTCAAGACTCAATATGATGCTTCTGTGAATGCATGGCTGATCAATAATCCAGGACAGCAAGTGACAATATACCACATTGCTGGTTTTGTTAGAACTGCTTTGCTAAGGGCAGGAACAGTGGAAAACATAACAGCTGGATTTTCAAGAACTGGAATTATTCCATTTGATCGCAACATATTTACTGATGATAACTTTTTTATGTCCACGGTAACTGAGAAGCCCAACCCTGAAAGTACGATTGAAGTTCTTGCCATTGTTCCTGTAAGTGAGTCTGCAGCAGGCTTAAGCAATGACGCTGAAACACTTGAAGAAGGAAGTAGTATCCCCTCCACTGTAAGTGTGACACGAGCAGACAACAGTAGCAGCTTGTCAACTGAGAAGAAGTCTAAGTCCAGGAAAACTGTACGCAAAAGGAAATTGACTGCAACTGAAACGCCTCCCCTAAACAATGAAGCTGAAGTTCCGACTACTGTCCCCACTGTCATCACTGAAAAAAAATCAAAGTCAAAGAGAAGATGTAAAGGGAGACTTGTGACCACTGTAACTGAAACACCTAACACCACCAATGAAGCTGAAGCTTCCACTGCATTTCCCACCAATAAACCTACAGCAGCAAGCTTGTCTAGTGCCAGTAAAATTATTGAGCCTGAACTAACCATTACCAGTGTGTCTTCCCCAAGTGAAAGTCAACCGCAAGCAGGGAGCAGTGGCCAATCAGCATTCATCACTCCAAGGCAGTTCAAGGGTTTGCCCAAGGCAAAAGAAAGTGAGCCTAAACGCAAACAAAGAAGGAAGGGCAAGTGTTTCATCCCAACAAACACACCAGAAAAAGAAGAAGTGGAGGCAAGACAGAGAGAACGGGATGAACAGGAACGACAGAAAGAAGAAAACAGACAGAAGAGGGCAGAAAAAAGAGGCTAGCAGAAGCAAGCAAAGCAAAGAAGGATAAAGTAAAAAAAGTTTTGGACTTCAGTGATGAAAGTTGTGTTGATGATGATTTAATGTCAATACCTGCTGCACCTGTTAAATCTAAATCCAGATCAAAATCAAAATCGAAGTCCAAATCTAAATCCAAATCTACATTGCCTGTTCTTGATTCCTGTCCCATGGAAGGCGATCATGTTTTAGTGTTAATGACTGTCCCTGAAAATAAATACTTTGCGGGGAAAATAATCAAAGATGTTGATGATAATGGAGATTTAGGAATCTCTTATCTTCGCTTGTCACGTAAAGCCAAAAATAGATTTACAATGCCGGCTAAACCTGATTTGAAAGTTGTGAACAGAAGTGACATCAAGGCAATTCTGCCTCATCCTGCTTCTCACCCTGGATTAACTAAACGGCAGCAGACCCATTATAGTTTTGATTTCGATTTTAGTGATTATAAACTAGGTTGAATCACAATATTATTTTTCTAATGTACTAAATGTGATCTAAGATTTTTTTGTGATTTAATTAAGACTGTATACTTAAAGTAAGCATTATTATTGTGAGGATTTTCAGTCCAAAAGAGACTTTGTGTTTTTATTAATTATTGATCTTTTGATCGATGGGTTGTTTATTATTTAATGTATTTTAATCAAAGACCTGTGATATTTTATTTTTTTGTTCAATGGTCTGTGATAAGTAATTGTGCAAACTTTTCTAATAATTCTGTATCAGTCTACCAAAATAAACACATCTCACTTCTTAAGCCTTGAGTCATGAAAGAATTATTGAACATTTTACCCCAGACATACAAAGCATTATTTCCTCACAAAATCTAATTTTAATTACTTGAAGTAAAAAAAAATATTGGTATCAACAAATGAAAACTGGTTTCTCTTTTCCTGGAAGAAATCATTGCCTGTTTGATAGTTTCCTGACTCTTTTTCTAGTCAGTTCACTACTTGTTACGAATCGCCCCATGGCTGTTACGATTCGCCCCGAGCCGGGGTGATTCGTAACAGATGCAAGGGTTTGAAATTCACTGTACCATTGCTATTTAACAGACCTAAGAGTGTGTCTGGTCATTTTTTAAGCTAGATAAAGGGTTGAGCTATCAATCGGGCCATATCTGAGTCAAATTGTGCCAAAAATACGTCCGTAAAACCCAAATTCCAAAATCTGTTACAAATCGCCCCATGCTCCCTTAGTTCAGGACACAGTAATTACTGTGCCTGGTTACAGCATTTACTGTACCTGGTACAGGATATTCCGTACTCCACTCCTGTGGTAACAGTAAATCCCGTACAAAGTTCAGTAGATCCTGTAAAAAAGTACTGTAAATCCTGAACTCTGAACTACAGTGACAGCTGTACTAATCACTACAGGATTTGCTGTGATTTTTTCCCACAGTGCATGTCCTCACGTGAATAAGTCAATCTAACTTTATTTTTTCTAGGTTTTGTTAGGTGCTTAAGTGTCGTTTTGTAAGTTCCGTCATGGTCACAAACACCTAAAAGACAACATTGCCATGCTGTAGTATATGGCAACCACATCAAAAGAAACCTCGCTATTTAACTCTCTTCCATGACTTATTCTTCACAAAATTACGGAAGGTGACTTTTGTAGCATCACTTGGTGCACCCGAAACAGCCTATGGAAAAATGTCCACCGTGTGACCACGTTATTTATGCTGCTTTCACAACTGACGGTTCACTGGGATTACTTTTCGTTTGAGAACCTCGCGACCGCTTCAAATCGAAAGAACATCGAAAACACTACTAGAAGCCCGTGGCCGCAGGGCCTGGGGCAGTCAAACAACGCTTCCAGCCCGTCAGAATTGTTCAAAACGGGTAGGGTGTAAATTCCGTTTCAGGCCATAGCTCCTCTATCTGAGGGACAAAGGTACCAAAACCTTTGCTAAAAATCGCTATTTCGGACATGCTTGAAAAGACACCGTTAACTGTTTTTACCTATCTTGTAACCCAGCCGGGTCAGGAGACTTAACACTTCGCTTTGTTAATTCTGTCATCTGTAAATGATCCACGAAGCGGAAGAAGGGGTTAAGTCGAGTTGATTCAGTGACCTCTTATCAGTCTTTCATGTAAACATGAGCGAAAATTTGGTCCAAAAATAAGTGTGGTGAGACACGTCCCATCCTCTTGCATTTATTTTTAGTTGACATTCCTCACCTGTTCTTCCACCTGCAAGGTTTAGGCCTTGCAAAAGGGAACGGATTCAACTCGACTTACCCCCTTCTTCCGCTTCCTGGATCAAATTACGTCATAATTTCTGTAAATTCCGTCGTATTTCATAGGGGGGTGAAAACGAAAGTCAATTTGTATCGTTGCCACGCTCAGAGGGGTACTGTGGGGTGCCATGTATGCCATCTAGACCAAAGTTCGACTAAAAAGTTGTACTCTTTTAAAAAAATTTGCTTCAGCCAAAATGACCGCCTTCGCACGGAATCACCCAACCCTCTTATGGCCCTCCTTTCCTGTTCAGAAACGTGTGCCAGCTTGCTTGACTTTTATTACCTCTCGGTGTCTTTTTGCAGTGACCCAAAATATGGCGACTCCAAAGCCTGCAGACCAGGGCACTGGCGTCGAAACTTCTCATATTTTGAATATCGTCACTATCAACTTAAATAAGATGGGTGCAATCAAGAAGAAAGATGACCGGCAGAAATCTTGTGGCTACCTAGAAGAGTACCTCAGAAAACAACGTGTCGATATTGCTCTGCTCCAGGAAGTGTCTGAGGCCTGGCGTCGATATGATTTCAGAGAGTACAATAAGGCAACAAAATCATCAATGCGAGAAAATTACCTCATGACTCTAACTCGAAGAGGTATACTGAATGTATCCAAGCCACGAGTGCTGATTGATATTTCGCAATGCTACGCTCGAGTTCTAGCAACGACTGTTACATTCAATGACGAACTCTTTACCGTGTACAACGTGCATGTTATGAAGGCGGACGTTGGGGCACAAAAACTGTTTGATGCGCTGTCCCAGAAGACGAAAGCTGGGGATAAAGTAATCGTCGGAGGAGATTTCAATTCAGTCGATCGAGAAGAGGACAGATTCTGGCCCATGGGCACAACTCCTAAAGTTACAAAGGGCAGTGATCTCCTTCACGACATTTACCCGCGAGGTTCCCAATCCATGTTTACGTTTCAGAATGCCAGACTAGACAGACTGTACGTGAGCTCCTGTCTTGTGGGAAGACTGGCTAGTCCCCAGACATTAACAGATTACACGACTACTCACAAGGGTGTCATGTTCACTATTGCACAGAATCCTTTACCTTGCGGTTCGTGTGATGCTGTGATTAATAGTGGGGAGTCTGTCAAACGATGCATAAAGTGCTTTAAAAATTGTCATGTGACTTGCGGCAAATTGTCGGAGATAGGAATTGGTCGCTGCAAAATAGTCGTGTATAGATGTGCAGTGTGTGAAGAGCCAAACAAAATTAAGGAACATGACACCCAAACCAGAGAAGCTTTGAAGAAAGCATTACAAACCACGTGCCCCGTCTGTGGCAATCAAGTTAAGGAGAACTCCGCTGGCCAAGTGAAATGCTCTGATAGCTGCAAGCGTTCCTTTCATAGGATCTGTGTTAAAGAGAACGAAGCAACTGATAATCAGCGATCTACATGGTGGTGCCGGCGTAATGATTGCGTGACGATTCTGAATATTGTCGAACTAATTGATGAACAACAAGCAGAACCACACAAACTATCTGAGGGACAGGCCTCACACCAGAAGACTAGACAGGTGCAAAATATTTTCGAAGAGAACGATACACCTCCAGTAGGTGATCGCTCGAAAACCCCTGTTGAAGCGACCGAATTGCCCATTGAAAGAAAATTCGATTCAGTGGCAGACACAATTTCAAGGAAGGATAGTACAACCACGGTAAGTGCACCACACATCAAAGGGCAAAAATGTATTGTGAAAAGACAGGACTTCACATCGACCTCCTCCGAATACAGCAAAGTTTGGTGCGCATGTTGGCTTTCTAGAAAAAAAATTTCAGTCAAAATTTCACATTATGTAAAATAATTTATTGACAATTTCGCCAATTTTCCCCTTTTTTTCGTAACTTTCTGGACATTGAAGAATTTTGCACCACCCCGCTCAAGACCCGGAAGATATCCAAAATACCCAAAATCAGCGGGTGGAAACTCCCTTGGCGCGGCTGAAACCATGTCCCGGGTGGCTCACCACTGCCCGGTCGGCCGCCCGGCGGCCGGGAATGGGCTGCGCCGGCCACTTTTGTTGCTTGGAAATCAATGAAAACTTTGACTTTTCGAAAAAGCGACCATGCTAGTATCCAGTTCAAGAACCAACGAATCGTGTCCATTCATTAGTTTTCACCTACGGGCACAGGTTCACACAGGAAGTGCCAGAAATGAAGTCAGTCGGTGACGCGCTCTCCAGCGCGCTGTGGCCACAAAACCACAAAACATAAAGCGCAGTCATAATGATAAAAAGATCTTTTTACCTCTTTTCCCCGTTATGGCTGCGCTTTATGTTTCGTGATTTCGAACTGACGACCCATCGTACGCCCCGGCAAATTTCTCGCAGATTCCGAATATGTGCTTGGATTTGTTCTACGATGAAGGATGGCCGAGATCTGAGCGGATTAAGGACGTAAGGGTGGCGGTCCATTTCGAGAAGGCTTTTCCGAATAAGCGTTGGCCCCGTCAGGCGTCGCCAGACTGCAGCCAGGTCAGGCAGGGCCACGCCAACACTAGCACAATAGCTTTTATTGCCCCCCGACCGGGGAGGGGCAACGGCACCTCGCCTCCGGAGCTGGGCTCCGATGAGCAGCCGAGCAGTTTTGCTTGTCCGGCCAATCGGCTGGAATTTTTCTAAGTCCGTGTTCATAGTAAAATGACAATTTTTGACAACGCTACCAAAATGCTTGTCACGAAACGGTTCACATTTCAGTGAAGGTGTGAAATGCAGTTTGTCCTGCTTCGTCAAAATGATCGCTCGAATTCAAATTTTGCATGAATAGATCCAGAATTTTGTCCCGCGTGCATTGGTCATCGTTGCAAACATGTCAAGCGACGCGTTAGAAATTTGACTCTCTGGACTAGGCCAGGTAGTCGCCCCCTATCTATTGTGTCGAGGGCCTCATTCACTGCCGGCGGCTCGTCGCATCGAAGCGAGGATGGTGACAGGAGGATTTATTGCCCCTCAACCCCAAACAGAAATTTTTTGAACGGCCCGTTTTTCAGCGTCCAATCGGACAGAAATGGTCTCCTCGCAAAATCGCGGTTCCAATGATACTTTGAAAAATAGTCCTGCGACAATTTTGACCGAAGCTTCGACCTTCCGTTTTGCAAAAGTTGGAGATGGCTCCGCACTGGCTGCAGTCCGGTCCCAGACGGCGCGCGGTGGCAAGGGTCTGGGGCTCGCATTGTTCCCCGGCGAGGGCCTCGCCCGGCTACCTGCAGCGGGGGCTGCTTCGGAAACAACTAGGCGCGAGAGAGACAAGACATCGCTTGTCTCTCTCTTCTGTTGAAGGTCCTGCAAATCTAGCTCACTTTCGGAAAACTCTCCTGGATAAACCGTTTGTTCTAGCGACTCGGAACTTTTTGCAATCAATAGAGGAAGGTCCTGGCCGTGTGGTAAAGGTTTTTCAACCTTCTCACTCGTGCACTTTTGTCGCTGCGCACTTTTGAAAAATGGCCTTTTTCAAGGCGTTCCAGGAGCTTTCCCTTGAACCCGATCGCCGTGAAAATTCTTCACAACATACCTACGACCTTCATTAACCTGGCTGCAAAATTATATTGAGCTTCTTCCATTGGTTTTCCCGGGAGACTTTTCCGAAAAAGGCTAAAAACGCTAAATTTTCGAACTTGTAAGCATCGCCACGCTTAAACTATGCGTCGCAGGGAAAAACCGCTCGGCAGGATTAAAGAACACACCCAGCACTTTCAAATGCCAAAAAATTTTTTTTGCCACCCGTACGCCCTTAAGTAGACTATGCACAATATGGCCGCAGCGTGCTGGAGAGCGCGTCACCGACCGACCTCATTTCAGTCACTTTCTGTTTGAACCCGTTTGCACCTGTGTCCGTAGGTGAAAACTAATGAATGGACACGATTCGTTGGTTCTTGAACTGGGTACTAGCATGGTCGCTTTATCGAAAAGTCAAATTTTTCATTGATTTGCAAGCAATAGAAGTGGCCGGCGCAGCCCTTTCCCGGGCGGCTGACCGGGCCGTGGCGAGCCGCCCGGGTCATGGTTTCAGCCGCGCCAAGGGAGTTTCCACCCGCTGCCAAAATCAAAAAGAAGGAAACGAAAATTGGCCACAGCTCACTAAGTCGATAAATTCACTTTCGCCCTCAAATTTCGTCCCGAGACCTCTACATGAGGACCTAACATGCCCACCAAGTTTTCTCACAATCGGGAAGGTTAAAGTAAGGACAGGTGTATCTTTAAATTTGCTCAAAACTAGTAAGCATGGTGCGTGTCTACAAGATATCCAGGTAGACGATAATCTGCACTGTGCTTGGAAGGTATGGTTCACGTGCATTAACTGCTCATGAGTGAATAGAAAAATAGGCAAAGAGGCTGAAGATGTCTCTCTCCGTTACACCACCTTTCCACGTACGTAAGTATGAAGGTTTTTATGTTCCAGCCTACCTCTTCCATTGATACTTCTTACGACTCCGAAGTTGCCTTTGCTTCTAGCGCTCAACACGCTGGAAAGAAACTGCTAAATATGCAGGACTCGCCAAGTAGTTACTGGGTGAGTATGTAAGGCCACACAGTTCCATGCAATCCTAAGGGAGAGTAGGGGTTCTCGCGTCACTTTTTATAATTAAGTTCAAAGGGGTCTGATTCTACCTTGTGATGAATAAGTGTGGTCAGAAACCTTCATTGGTACTAAATCTACGTTAACTTGCTCACTTGCTGTTTTTTAGGAGTATTCTCCTTTTCCGAGCATTTCTGCTTTAGACATGAGCCACCCTTTGTTGATGGGGACTGTAAAATGAAACACAATACAGTCCAAATATCAATAAAGCCCGTGAAATCCACACATTAAAAAATTTGATTCGATTTTGAACTGGCAAGAACCCATTTTAGGCATTGAAGTACATATGGCAATGCCTTGATACACGTAAGTTAGCCGCACTACAATGTGTATGGTGTATGGCCAAGTGTCGTCCACAGCATTTTGACCCTCTTCCAAAATAGTTTAGACCAGTGCGGTAAATTTCATTTCAAGCTGTGAAATCGGGCCGCATAGTCACACTGTCTATTGACACTCGTAGAAAAAAGATCGCAAAGACGCCGGGTGTCGCCAAAACGCTTAGACCACTGCATCTGGTGCCAGGAAACGGACGTCCCATACGCCTCGGCCAAACTTCCGCCATGGTCGGGCGGCCAGTGCAATTGCGTGAAGACGTCTTGTTCGACGATGCTCTGCGGATGCCGAAAATCTGGCATTGGCTGCTCGCCCTTGTGTCACTGCCGTGGAGTAACGTGCTTCAACCCGGATTCAAAGGTCTGTTGGACGAGATAAGGAATAACATTAATAATCCTTGAGTAGTTTTTGCAAATGCTCGAACCTGAGGCATGCTATGTGCACACCTGAGTTTGTAGAGTACGTGTGTGAAGCTTATCGTGTTTCGCCCCCAGCCAACCACTGAGGCCTTGCGTCTCTTCGGATCCCTGCCTAAAATTGAACCGCTGCCGTCGCTTGGACAATGCAGATGTGTCGCCACGTCGTGCTCAACTATGCAGTGCGGATGCCGCAAATCCGGAAGAAGTTGCTCAGGGTCGTGCCACTGCCGCGGCGTGGCTTGCTACAATCCAGCCACGGCGGTAGGTAGTTCCTGTAAAACAACCCTAGCAAAAGGGGGCGCTGCACACTGTGGCAAAAAGCTACGGAAAATTCTGTAAACAGCTTGTGGTAATTCTCCGTAGCACCCTTGTCAATACTGTGATATTCGAGACTTGGACAAAGTTACACGGTTTTGACTGTTGAAACACCCCTCTCGCGGGCGCCATTGTTGGCTGCCAGGGGCTCCCGGCGAGCACCCTGCCCCAGCCAGACGGCTCTGTACTCTTGCCCTGAGAGGACGCTCTCGCCTTGTGCCCTACCAATAAAGCCACGCTACCACCAGAACCGACTCATTCTTTCTGAGAGTCAGGAATATCACAATACTCTCCGTAGGCTTTAACAGTATTCTCCGTAGGACCGTACGGTCTTCTCCGTAGGACCTCTCTGTGTTCTCCGTAGGACCCAGTCTTCCAGGTCCTGCGGAGAAGACTGTGCGGTTTTCCGGAGAATACTGAACTGTACGGCCCTACGGAGAATATTGATAAGAGGGCTTCGGCAAGGGGGTATTCACTCCTAAAAGTGGTCGACATACTAATACCTTTTGAAAAGTATTACATGAATTACATCCTATTACAGCTCATCTGTCAATTACGTGTATTACCTCACTATTACGGCTATTACAGACCTATTACAATACTATTACAGCAATTACAGACGATTACATCGAATACAAACGACGATTACAGACCTATTTGAGTGCTATGAAAGCAATTACTGACTATTACATCAAATACAGTCATTACATAAATTACACAGTATTACACACCAATTACAGCTATTACACAACAATTACAGCTAATACATAACAATTACAGCTATTTCATAACAATTACCGTCACAACAACGCCCTTTTCTGACATTTTAAACGATTTATGTATTACTATTACCACCTATTACACATCAATTACACTCCTATTACACCTATTACGGGGCCATTACAGGTAATACACCATATTACAGCAATTACACAGATATTACCTATTACAGCAACTATTACAGGGCTATTACATACCCTTCGACCGACTAATACCTGAGTGAATACCCCCTTGGGCTTCGGAGAATCCTGGCAAAAAAAAACAGAATTTTCCGCACTTTTTTGCCACAGTGCAGAGAGCGCCCATGGACGCTAGCGGCTTGCTCTAGCGACAGGGCAGGAGAACTGGACAGAGGAAGAACTGAACCCCCCACATGGTAGGGTCAGTTGGGGTAATAATGGGACAATTTGAATAATAAGCGATATTAAGGTTTCCACAAGTCCGCAATGGCGAAATGCAGTGTGTGTAATGCACTCTCAGACAGACTTTTGACTTTTAGCACATGGTATTGACATTTTGTCGATGTCGATACTACCTGTAGTTTTTTGTGCAACAGTAAAATGTACTTTTGACTTTTGTTCCGTGTTATCTGCATTTTTGTTACGACTTATTGACAAAAAATGATACCTGCATAATTTTAGGCAGTACATTGTTCGTATCTAAGAATAAAATACTAAGTACTGACGATAAAGTCAATAAGAGGCTGAGAGTGTGCATTTACATTATAGGGAACTCTGTTCCACTCCATTTGGCGTTAAAATAAGATCAAATGGTCATTTAATTTTCCAGTTGTATTAAAAATATGATAATTCGGACTTGTAAGTTTAGGGTAAGAATGGGACACGGTAGGGTGAAAATGGGTCAGGGGCTTAGCAGTGGTAAATCAGGCCTCAGACACCACTTTCTAAAATGCGATCCGTCTCAACACGAGGGACAATAAATGTCATCACATGCCAAAGGTTCGCATGAAAAATGAAAAAATATTGCCCTTTAAAAGTACTTGGGTGCAATATGACCTTTTGCGACTATTTCTTAGTTTCAAAGCCCACTTACTTTTGCAATATCCATCCAAACCCACAGCATGTGTTGACATTTTTTGTTTGTCTTGTCGAGACGAACCTATTTCTGTAAAAAATGTCTATTCGAACAATTTCGAAAATTAACTGCCCCAAGGCCACAATTTACCATGGGCAGTCATTGTCGTGCCGTATGAAAAATGGAATGAACATTTGAACATTTTGAACAAAACATGTCATTGTTGGACTTTTGAAAATGCCCAAACTCTTTAAGATTAGACAGTATCCCATTCGTTCGTTTGAAGAGGCTAGTTTGTGGCTGATTCACATCCAAACGAATGTGGCACAAAACTCGAAGGAACGTGACAATTGTCACATTCGTTTCCACGTGATGTAATGGTCCTGGATTGAGTGTGTGCCCTCATAATATCGTAGAATGACTTCGATTTTCTCTGACCAAAATGAGGTCCTCAAAGCCTCAACGCGTGGACCAAGTTGATGCAAAAGCATAGCCCAAGATGGTCTTGGTCTACATTTGGATTGACAGCGTATTCAAAAGCGTCGAATCGAAAACAGAAGTGACATACACTCAGTTAACTGTGTGCAAGGTGCACTATCTAGACTCAACCGGCAGGTAGACAGCAATTATAGTATTTCTGCCTGGAATGCTCTGAGAGTGTTCACTCTAAATGTCTTTCGGAGAAATTTCACATAACACGAAGGAAATGGCGCAAGCATAATACGAAGGTGGTTTTTCTCCATAAGTATTACGAAGGTTCGTCTTTGTATTTTGCAGCACTGCAAATTCTCACTTGAGAATTTTAAAAAGATTCGTAGTACCAAGAAATATTGCTTCGTATTATGCTCGCGCCGAATTCACTGTAACATTCGAGTAACATAAGCTCAAATTTCATTGGAAGACATTTTGAGTGTACCAGGGTTCTTTACTGCGATGAAAAGCTCCCTTTGATCTTCCAGGAAACGTTCGAAGAAACCACTTCTTTAGAAGCCTCCCGCGATCGCTACACTCCGTTTACCACTGACATTGACCATGGAGCTAAGAAAAAGTTGTCAGACGCGTCGGATTTCTATGACAGTGACGAGGTGAGTGCAATGAAAGAAACCAACCGAAGTGTTTGCCTCAGCTGTTGGCAATTCTGGAAAGGGGAGAAACTGGCTGACATTTCTACATGTCAAGGAGTGCTCACTTGTTGCATTTACGCGATAATTTTGTATTGCTGACTGCACTCTCATTCCAGGAACTTGACATCACGTTAAAACGAACGTGACAAAATGTATCGTTCAGTTGAGCATTGTGTCACGTTCTTTTGAATGTGAACAAGCTGATTTTTGGCCAATTCACACCCAAACGAATGTGACACAACGCTTAAACGAACGTGACATTTTGTCACGTTCGTTTCAACGTGACGTTCCTGGAATGAGAGTGTGAAGCTGCAGCTGCCCTTTTTTAATACAATCTTCTTATTGCTCAAAATTGTACGAGACTTTACGACATTAGAAATATCAATGTATAGTTTTGAATCGAGAGAAGGAACTATAGAAATTGTTTCTTCTCTCGGATGTCCGTTCTAGCAGGGCCTGAAGTGAAGAACAAGAACTAAGACCAGAAGCAGGACAAGAAATCAGTCTTTTTCGGGGGTTTTGACAGGTTTAAATCACATTCTTTCGTGAAATTAAGTTTTAATTTTTGGATTGAGAATAAACACTTGTCATCGATAGATAGGCGTTACTTGACAACAGTTTACAGCTTATGTTCTTCTTCGTGTTCTTCAGTTCAGGCTTTGCTAGAAGTGTCCATTCTACTTGAATACCAATACAACCTCAGGACAGACCTTACTCCGACTATTTCTGGTGCCAGGAAACGGACACACCGTACGCGTCGGCTAAACTTCCGCCTCCGCCATGGTCGGGGGGCCAGTGCAATTGCGTGAAGACGTCGTGTTCGACGATGCACTGCGGATGCCGAAAATCTGGCATTGGCTGCTCGCCCTTGTGTCACTGCCGTGGAGTAACCTGTCGTAACCCGGATACTAAGGTCTGTTTGCACGAGATGAGTAGCAAATTTAGAAATCCTCCGATGGTGTGATGCAAATAATCTGGCCACTTTTTCTTCCCTCCCCCCTCTTTGAGACCTGAATAGTGGATAACCTTACCTATTCCATGTTTTCAAGATGGGGCGTAGTATATTAACAAGGCAACCCTAACCTCCAAAATTGGTAACTGGGTTCAGCCGTCAACTGTACCGTAGAACGGGGTAATGTGAGACAAATTTCGAGGTTTTCTGTGAATTTCCCTCTTTCAATTTCAATTTGAGGTACTGAGGTGTTCATCACTTGTTTATTGACCCTTTGGCTACACTCCCACCAAATTTCAGATTTTTAGGTGCAGTAGGGACCTTTCAATAACCCTCGGAATACCGTCCCTTATTTCCCTGCAATGTGGGGTAATATGAGACATAAGAAAGAAATGTTAAATAAGTATGCAGAATTAAATCATTCAGGCGGGTTTGGAGCTTTTTAAGTTCTTTTCATTCATTTTAAAGATGATTGGAAACTATAATGGAGACGATATACAATCTGGAGGGGAGAAAAATGGGTGTCACTAAAGAGAGCTGAAAAATGTATAAGAAGTCATGAGTTGTGCCTGTCACATGAAAATACTAAACGAAGAGCATAGATGCCGGTCAGATGGTAAAACAAATACGCGTTAAAATCATTATTACTTGAAATTATTAACAGTGGAGTATGTTTGGCCTCATGTTTCAGGCGAAAAGAGGTGTCTCTATTTTCCCTGCAAGTTACCAAATTGTATTCCATCTGGAACAGGCAGCCCGGGAGTAGACATAACGGAACCAAATTTTGTCCTGATTATGTTGACATAATTGCCTACAGATTTAAACATCGTTCGGACGACAACCCGAGTTCTAACCGAGGTTTCTGGGGAGGTTTTTATTAACTTCATAAAACTTGTTAGAATTTAGAGGTTTTTCCTTTGGTTCTAAATAATCCTGGCGAGTCTCTGATAGCCGTCGTGCGTTTCCTGTGAGCTGCCACGGCCTCCTAGATCACGAAAAAAAAAAAACTCACGGTGGTCTTACAACCGCTAGAGCAACACGACAAAAACCGAAAAAAGTGCGCTTTGTCTCGATTTTCCTTCATGTCTCATATTACCCCGTTCTCCGGTTATCTTAAAGAAGTATGCCTATTTCCATAGAACAGCTTGTTTGCTATTTGCGCAGCCAAACTTTTTGCAGCCGCCTGTCTTTCGTGGCGCTTTATGTAGCTTTGCGTTTGTTTTACCCCCAGCCAACCCCCGAGGCCTTGCGTCTCTTCGGATCCCTGCCTAAAATTGAACCGCTGCCGTCGCTTGGACAATGCAGATGTGTCGCCACGTCGTGCTCAACTATGCAGTGCGGATGCCGCAAATCCGGCAGAAGTTGCTCAGGGTCGTGCCACTGCCGCGGCGTGGCTTGCTACAATCCAGCCACGGCGGGAAGCAGGGGATAACTCAGTTTTCATCATTTTTCAGGAGACACAAAATACTGTTTCGAGGGTGAACTTATCAGATGAATGATGCAATTGCATTTTTTAGGCACGAAGTAGCCTTATAGTATACCCAGGATTCAGCCGGCCCGAGATTCAATTTGTGTGGCCCTTTATGCATTTCGGAAATTTTCTTTACGATTTTAATGAGACTTTGCAGACTTGTAGAACTTTGAATGCTGATTCTCATGCTGAAATCTGGTTAAGAAGCTAACGGCCAATTTTGAGAAATTTGCTGTCAAAATCGCCGTTTCCTTGGCAAAACTCGACTCGTCAAAGGAAAAAAAAAAGGGAGTGGGGGGAGCCCGAGCCGGGGCGGACCAATAGCCGAGCTTCTTTTTGGGTCTGTACAGCTTACTCCAAAAGCTGAAATAGCACGTTCGAAGTGAAAAATTTCTTTGACTGCACAACAATAGAATTGGTGTCGGTTCGAACGCAGTTTTTCGGGTAGAACTATCCAATAATACTTCTTGATCGGAGTGTTTTTGGACATGCGCAGTAGGTTTGCAACCTGTTTAACAGTTTAACCAACTGTAGCAATTGAAATCTGTATTAATTTTGCTCTCTTTCTTGTTTTTTCTTTGTTTCCTGCTTATGAAAATTCGTATAAAACAAATTTTCAATTTTTATGTGATAACTTTCTAAAAAAATATTCACAAAAAATTAGCAAAACCAAGGTTCTTTTTTTCTGACATAAAGTTTCTCAAATATTACTTTTTTTTCTGTCAATAAAACAATTTTGTTGTTGTTGTGATTCAGTTACACTGCAAACTTAACTGTCTACTTAGTACACACTTACAAACGCGTGCTTGCAAGTACACACTTACAAATGCATGCTTCGCCAAGTACACACTTACAAATGCATGCTTGCAAGTATAGACACTTACAAACGCACGCTTGACGCCGTATAACTCCATGCGTCAAGCATGCGTTTGTAAGTGTCTACTTGCAAGCATGCATTTGTAAGTGTGTACTTGGCGAAGCATGCGTTTGTAAGTGTGTACTTGCAAGCACGCATTTGTAAGTGTGTACTTAGTAGACAGTTAGGTTTGCAGTGTAGCACTAGGACCACTTCGCTCCACCTCGCGACTTGCAGTGCTCATGTTCCTCGAACAAGACTCACCCGCGTTTCGAAACCATCCCTCCCGAGTTTATGAAGTTTGTCAAACCAACCGTCGTGGTGTTGATACGTTGTGAGGGAGAACTGTTACACAGAATTGAAGAAAACATGACTAGAGAACCATAGCCTTTTGAAACAAGCCAAACAATTCAACGTCAGCAACAATGGAGGGGCAGTTTTAATGCGCGACTGCTGGTGCTTTCAGCTTCGCGATTTTCGCAAGGGCGCAGACGCCGAGAAACTAGTTGCCAACCCGTGAAAATTAATTTACTGCCTTCTTTCTGCTAAGAACATTTTAATAATTATGGACTAAAGATGTTCCATTGTCAGAACACTGCGAAATACATTAGCATTGGAATTTTTTGAATTTACCAGCATTTTGATTTCTATTTATTGTCAAGTTTTAATTTCGACGGATGGCACATCGACCGCATTGGTACTACTGCCATTGGTAGTCCCCTGAGCCACAACTTCACAACACCACTTCTTTTCTTTCTCCACAGTCTTACACAGTAATCAAATTGACTTCGTGACTCCTAGGATTTCTTGAAATCGTATTTTTTTTTTTCAAGAAAGCCTAAGAAATAACTCTGAAAATTTTCAAAAGTGTAGTATCACTCTGTGGACGGTTTCTGTGATTTAAATCTTTACGTTGGAATGGACTACAGAACCATGTTTACTTGGTTCTCCCAAACAAGACGGAATTTGGAGACAATTCAAGTGGAGCTGAGGTCTGCGTAGAGTCTGTACTTCTGTGGTACATTTTTGGAGTTACCTCTTTTTTTCCAACTAGTGATGGGGAGTTAAGTTTAGTTGATTCCTTTCACACTTTATAAAGACACAAGTAAACTTATCTGATTTTGCCATTTCGTGGAATGGAGTTATGTGGACTTCGGTTGAGTTACCTCCATTTTCCGATGAAAATTCGATCGTAAAAGAGGTAAGTTCAGTTATATCCATTTTTCATGTGGATTTTCTCCTAAATTGTTAGGAACTGGGTCAAACAATTTGGTGTGATGATGCAAACCATCCTAAGGCACAATCGCAAGATACACTACAAATCCAAAGGTCAGACTTCTCACCACTCAAGAGGCGAGACATAAAAGTCTCGCCAAGTTCTGGTCAGACCTGAAAGTCTCGCCAAAATGTGGTCAGACAAAAAAAGTCTCGCCACAAAACGGTCAGACACAAAAGTCTCACCACAAAATGGCGAGACTTTAGCGTCTAACCACCACCTAAAGGCCGCAAAGCGCCGGACGGTTACGGTCAGACGCGAGGGGTCGACAACTCCCATATTACCTCGTACGCAGAGCTTATATTACCTCTATATTACCTTATATTACCGTATATTACCGTATATTACCCTATATTACCGTATATTACCTCTATATTACCACTATATTACCACTATATTACCACATATTTCTGTGATTTGCTTGTTTCTAACCTAAACTAACGTTAAACTTGCCGTACTGAACCTTGGTATCAAGGTGTTAAAGCTATTAGGCTTCTCCTTGCGACAGGAAGAAATTCGGATTTGATGTCCGTGTTCAATCTGACATGAAGCTACGCGCCATACTTTGGTCAGATAGGTTGCATCGGGTTGCATACCTTTTATCTGACAGGGGGCGCTGTCATGAAACGAGGGTAAGGTCTGCATAATACCAAAATTTTAGCCAGAACTCCTGATTTTAGCCTTAGTCAAGGATACTGTGTCACGTTCTCATCTTCTTTTATCATATATTACCGTTGTTTTATTTCCGTATATTACCTTATATTACCCTATATTACTTATATTACCGGTAATATATACTACCTCGTACACGGCTCGAGGTAGTTGTCGACCCCTCGGTCAGACGTGGTCAGACACGAAAGTCTCGCCATTTTGTGTCTGACCGTTTTGTGGCGAGACTTTTTTGTCTGACCAAATTTTGGCGAGACTTTCAGGTCTGACCGAAACTTGGCGAGACATTTAAGTCTCGTCATATTTTGGCACGAAGTCTTTCCACCCAATTTGCAGTGTAACCCCTCAATTTGGAGATAAGTCGAATTCTTCTTCCGCTTCCTGGATCATAAAGCCCACATCAGCATAGCCCGCCAGCGTTTGGCCCGCCGTCGGAACAAGGTGCCTTCGTTGCAGTGGCGACAACAATCAGGCCTCCGCGAGCTCGCACCACTCAACTTTCGGGAACTTTCGGAAATGGCACGAACATTTCACTGGTTTTCGGACAAAGGGGTGTAAGTCCATAAAATCGTAAAATTGAGTGAAGTGTATTTTCGGATATATCACTCAAAACCGCACAACTTGGTGTTGTCAGATCGTCAATATGACTGCTGCTTGCGGAGATACCGCACTGTCCCAAAGGACGTAAGTCCACCAATTTTCTGACAAAAGAGCACAAGTCCACCGTTTTCTGAGAAAAACAGCACAAGTCCACGTAAGTCCATACGTTTTCTGACAAAACAGCACAAGTCCATCGGTTTTCTGACAAAACCGCGTAAGTCCAGGGAATCTATGGACTTACGCGGTTTTGTCAGAAAACCGATGGACTTGTGCTGTTTTGACAGAAATGGGGAATACATTCCAAAAGGATAGTGCAGCCTACAAGGATTCTGGTTCTATAGAATCCATTTGCCTGACGCGCTACTTTTGATTGTGAGCAAAACCTTACTGATTGGAGGCCTTGAATGTGTATCTTTGTCATTCCACCAAACAGCATAAGTCCACCTGTTTTCTGACAAAACCGCGTAAGTCCAGGAAATCTATGGACTTGCGCTGTTTCGTCAGAAAATAGGTGGACTTGTGCTGTTCTGTCAGAAAACGTATGGACTTGTGGACTTGTGCTGTTTTTCTCAGAAAACGGTGGACATGTGCCCTTTTGTCAGCACAAACATCATGATCAAAACCGCGTAAGTCCATACATTTCCGAAACCGTTGTGACAACTCAATCATGACACATTCAGGCGGATAAGACATGAAAATTCATACTAAAATGTATACGTCTTTTCCTGCAACTCTTAATGGTTCAGATGCAGGAAGGTTTTCATTACATACCCACAAATTTTCATTTGAGGACTTACACCCCTTTGTCCGAAAACCAGTGATTTATGAAGTCAAAAAGATCAAGGAGACAAAATTTTAGTTCATTATGGACTTCAATACCACAAACATTCAGCCAAAGAGGAGCGAACGTTCTGGGTCTGCAGTCTGAAACCGGAATGCAAAGCGGGAGCAACGACGATCTCAGAGCCGCCTGTTGTCCTGCGGGAGGGGACACTCGCACGCGAAGGAGGTCATGGACGACATCAAGGGCAGCCAGAGATTCCTGCCATCCAAAATCACGTCCAACCGACTGCAGCGCAATTCTACACTTGATCCAGGAAGCGTAAAAAGGGAATCAATAGACTTCTCTCCAAATTGAGTTTTTTATACTATTATTGTGCCTTAAAATGGTTTATTTACATTATTGCAGAAAGTTATCTGACTCAATTCCCAGCAGCTAAGGACAAAATAGACTAAGAAGAGAAAACATGACTTAACTTGACTCCTTTTACGCTCTCAATTTAACGGATAATGGAGATAACTCAACCAAAGTCAACATGACCGGGCGTGGATACGGGGGGTTTGGTTTGGGGTTTTGACCCCCCCCCCCCCAATAGCCCCTGGATAGCCGAGAAAACCATTCCTCTCAGCAGGGACGCCCCGTTAGACCAGCTCTTATTTTGCGAAAGTGAGAATTCCGCTGGGTTCCCCGACTCAAAATGACCGAAATGGTTAGAAAACTCTTAATTTGAAAGCCCAAAGTCGTCAGACTTACCAAAGCCGTGCCCCACACACTAAATTCTTATGTACTTTTTTATGCATAGTTATGCATGCTCAGAAACGTCCATATGTTATGTATAATATTATGCATCACTGTGTACATTTTATGCAGGAAGACGCATAAAATGTACACAGTGATGCATAATTTTTTACATAACATATGGACGTTTCTGCGCATGCATAACTATGCATAAAAAATGCGTCCTTATGCATTTAAAAAGTCCATAAGAATTTAGTGTGCAAGACCCTATATAAAGGCAAAAAGCCAATTTTTTTTTCGGACTTTAACCAAACTAAGTTTGACTCTAGGGTAAACAGGCCATAATACGACCCTTTGGTTGAAAATTTCGTCCGTTTTGCGATATCTCGACTCCTTCATGCCCAAACGGCCTCCCCAACCGCGAGCATAAAAAAGACGCCGCGCGGGCGGTTGGGGAGGCCGCTTGGGCATGAAGGAGTCGAGATATCGCAAAACGGACGAAATTTTCGTCCAAAGGGACGTATTATGGCCTGTTTGCCCTAGAGTCAAACTTAGTTTGGTGAAAATCCGAAAACAAAAAATTGGCGTTTTGCCTTTATATAGGGTCTTGGGGCACGGCTTTGGTAAGTCTGACGACCTTGGGCTTTCAAATTAAGAGTTTTCTCACCATTTCGGTCATTTTGAGTCAGGGAACCCAGCGGAATTCTCACTTTCGCAAAATAAGAGCTGGTCTAACGCCCCGTCACGTGCTGGTGTATCACCGACATGGCGGGGCCGGGGCGGGCCTGAAAGCCAGACGATCAATTGTGGTCGAGGCATTAATCGCAATCGCCTTAAAGGTAGGCAAAAAGTGCGACTTTGCCCCCCCCATAAGCCGCCTCTGGATTCGCCACTGAACATGACCCCATTAGAGATATTGTCGATGGGAGATAACTCAACTTGTGTTTTTAATGTATCTGTTACGGGTAATGTCCGATGTCGATCAGTGTCGGACATAAACCGGTTAGTGTCCGGAAGACGCGACATTATCCAAGCTGCAGTGGTTAGTGTTGACATTACCCGGCTAATGTCCGGCCGGTCAGATGGCAGTCGGGACAGTAACCACTGAGCAGGTGTGAATAAGGGCAGTGGGCATGCCATTTTTATTAGTTCTTGCATGAATTTGCACCGTGGCACGTAGATGAGCACAGTCGTCCCAAACGCCGGCAGCCGCAGCGGTCGGTCTTACACCCTGTCGTGAACAGGCATTGGTCATCTCTCGTAGCCTTGGCCTCCCAGGTGCGCCTGAGCCGACGCCAGGTGCCGGGCTCTTCAATTCCTTCGAGACTTGGGCGACGACGTCCACAAATTTCTCCTTGCTGGCTGCGAATCATCTTTACGTCATTTGCACATTGATCAAATCCATCTGGCACCTGCTATTCATTTGGCTGTGGTTTAAAGGTTTTAAAACAATGCCCTGCTTGGTGGCTTTGTGCTTCAATACACATTTTTCGCACATAGGCATGAACAACGCCACTGAGTCAGTGATATACGAAGAGAGCATGGGGGCGTCCCCTGTACCAGGCCAACATCTTACTTTGCGGTTCTGACCACCATCAGGTGAATCAGCCCCCGCCCCGGCAAGCCACACGCTCTTTCGAACGCCGGCTATCCGGGGCCTTAAGATTTCAGCCATATGCGAAAAAGAAACTCTTGGGGGCATTACTTTAGAGTCCCAAATAACGTACCACCGGAGAAACTCGGCACCGGACGATTGCAACCCCCGACGCTTCGCACACCACTAGCAGCAAGACCTAATGCCTCGGGGAAGAATGTTTGAAAAGAAACACGGGGCAAGATTGCTGAGCACAAAAGTTTAATTCAGAAAATCAAAAGAAATTGTCACAATTAGCGAGCAACAAATATAAATGGCAGTTAGTGACTATGCTGAAGCAACTTGTCGTAAATGACTGCTTTAGAAGAAGGGAGTTCCACTATACATAGACTCCATGATAGAATAAGGGGATTTACAGAGCAAACAAGCAGATCAAGACGCTAACTGGGACGACAGATTACCCCCGAAAACTAATCAGTTTTCAAGGTCTTCATTGTTTTTGATTCTCACGAACATACAATATTTAGAATGTGATTAAAAATACAACACAGGATTAAAAAAAAAAAACAGCAACGGCTGTTGCGCAAACGAAATGAAAAATATTTGAAATGCGTCGAACGGGCAGATTAAAAAAAAGTGAAACATGCATGTTTAAGATCTGAGCATGGAGTGAAAGCTGATCGATCCACGCGGCGGAGTCTTATGAGACGCCACACTGCTCCAGCATCCAGCGGACGGTCACCTTCACGCCGGGCATCTGGGAGGCCAGCATCTTCCTCGCCTGCACCGACTCTCGCTTGCTGCCCCAGCCAACCTGCACATTTTTTTTTTCGGAAAAGAAAACCTCACATGAGATCGAGTGAAGTCAAGCACACTTTCATTCCAGAAGGATGACATCGTGACAACATGTTACGCTCACTGTCGGAAAAAATCACAGTAAATCCAGTAGTGATTGGTACAGCTGTCCCTGTAGTTTTGAGTACAGGATTTACTGTTAGTTTTCACATGATCTACTGTACATTGTACGGGATTCACTGTGCCACAGGAGTGGAGTACGGAATATCCTGTACCGGGTACAGCAGATACTGTAGCCAGGCACAGTAAATCCTGTGTTCTTAACCACAGTAAATCCCGGCAAAAAAATTAACGGTATTCACTGTACTTTTTTGGTAGTGCTCTTAGGGCAGTGCGTCGCTCGTTTGACTGTGGATCAAGTAAAGACAGTCTTCTTCACATCCAAACGAGAGTGACACAGCTCAAAGGAACGTGATATTTTGATAACCGATTTTCTGCAAAGCTTGTGCATAAGAAACTTCATTACAAATAAATATGTATGCTCTCACAGATACGATCCATGCATGCTACGGACAACATTATGTCCCATTGGGCACAAACTATGCACAAAGTTGTGTAAAGGGCAACAGGAAATGACTTCAAATTCCAGTGAACAAATTATATACGTCAACATGAATTTGGAGTAAATTTCTATGAATTTTGATTTTAATCTTACAGGTTTATGAAGAATCTCCGCCAGTCGTCACGAACTCTGACAAAAACGGTTAATTGACGATTTTTGGTGTACAATGATCTGTTTTGAGGTGTTTCCCCTCAATAAAGTGTGCACACTCTAAATGTCTTACGGTGAAAGACTGCACCATCGTATAAAGGTGAAGATTTCCTCCCTAATATCAACGAAATTAGTGCAACTGTAAGCTACTGTGAAATTTAAATGCACCACCATCAAAATGTAGACAATTTTCACCATAACATAGAGCATCTTCACCGTACAGCTTCACTCAGAATGAAAGAGTTATGATCATGACTAAAATTTAGGGCGAGGAATTCTATATCATCCAAATTAGGGTGAGGAAGGCTTCCTCACCCAAATTTAGGTGGTAATACTCTGGAGCCATGTAGGTAGCTGATACACTAAAAGTTGGGTTTTTGATCATGACTTTTTCAGTCTCAGTGTGAGAGTGCACAATGATGTTAATATTGTGAAGCTGGTGAGTACCTCCAGCTGCAGAGAGCGCAGGCGCGGCAGGCGGGCGCGCAGCTTGGCGAGCTCGGGCAGCAGGGGGCTGCCGTCGATGGCGAAGCTCTGGACGAGCAGGTCCTCGACGCCGGCGGGGATTCGCTCCAAGCAGAACATGAGGCCGCAGCGCATGTGCAGCGTCAGGCGGCGCAGCGAGGCGGGCAGCGCGGGGCCCACGGCCGGCACCTGTGGAGCACGACGAAAGAAACACGATGTAAACCATCTAGGCACCGGACACTTGCAACGACCCACACAAGATGCTCCGCAAACTACTGAAGAGTGAACATGGTCAATCTGAATGTAGACGCTCACTACTGTTTACACATGTAAATAAGAGGCTACACGCTAAATGCCAATGGAAGTCCATAACTAGGTATTGCTACATTTGAATACATACACAGCCCATGTGCGAATTTGTACACAAATTGGGTACTTTATTATGAATAACTTAACACAATGTAGAAATATTGTCCGTAATTAATGAACCGAATTGTACTAAATTTCCGTATGCACAAATATGGCAATAACTATGGACGATACAAGTACGTAAATATTTAGTGTGCACATGGCAAGTACACACTAAATTCTTATGGACTTTTTTATGCAAAGTTATGCATGCACAGATACGTCCATATGTTATGTAAAATATAATATTAGGCATCACTGTGTACATTTTATGCAGGAAAATGCATAAAATGTACACAGTGATGCATAATTTTATACATACCTTATGGACGTTTCTGCGCATGCATAACTATGCATAAAAAATGCATCTTTATACATTAAAAAAGTCCATAAGAATTTAGTGTGCACATGAACGCGTACCTTGGACATGTCCACGTTGGCGGGCAGCTCCAACGGGATGTGGCTCACGTAGTTGCAGGGCAGCTCGGCCTCCTGCAGCGCCTCGCACTGTGACAGCGCCTCGCGAACCTGAGGAGGACGAAGGAGGTTCGGGATCAAGGCAGAGAAAAGAGAACGTTCGTGGGGATGCAGTGCGCAGTGGGCCAGAAGACCGGCGCTGGCGGCAAAAACTCAAGACGCATTTTGAGCTCTAGGGTCAATAAAACAGATCTTGAACCAAACGTGCGACCCCCACCAATAGATTCCTTGATCGTAGAGCAATCAAATGGTGGGGTCACACGTTCGGTTGAAGTCCCATATCCCATTTCCTAGGAAGTCCCTTGAAGCCGCCTGAGTCTCCACTAGGCACTTGGGAAAACCAGAAACGCTTCTTGACCTGTACACCGGGCAAAAAGGATGCACTGGAAAATCAAACAGTGATACATATCATTCTCTGGGCGCGGAGACAGAGCTGTCTCACCGAAAAAGGATGATACTAAAATTTATCACTGAAAAACTAGTCGTACACAAATGTATCGCCGAAAAAAAGTTGGAGTGAGCTGCGTCTCCTGCACCAAGATCGGTGTCGACATTCATGTCTGTTTTACAGTGTGCACACAACGAGAAATAACGCCCGCCAAATTTATACATCACAAATTTGAAAGTCGATAAAATTTGGTAAAATGCATCGAAATTCTTCTCAAAATTCAGTAGTTTTGGCCCGAAATCCACCAAAATTCAGCTGAAATGCACTTAATTCCGACACCGAAATTCACAGTGAGTTCCCCCTAGTGTGCGCAGTCCCATCTGCACTGTAAATGTCTTGCGGTGAAAGGCTGCACCAACATATTAGAGTGGAGATCTCCATAATACCAACGAAATTCGTCAAAATATCGCTAAAAGCTACAGTAAATTTTCAATGGTACGTTATGAAGTCAGCTTCATCACCATAATATAGAACATTTTCAACATAATATGGAGAATCTTCACTGTAGAACATTTAGAGCGTGTGAACGCTGGCTCACCAGGTCGTCGTGCCGCTTGTCGATGTTGTCCAGCGTCACGGCGCGCAGGGTGTGGCGGTGCGCGGCCAGCAGGCTCGTGATGGGGGCGGCGCTCTCCAGGTGGGACTTGGAGTACATGGCCAAGGTCGTGTCGTCCACTTTGAAGCGCAGGTCCACGAGTGTGCTGCCCGCGGCGCCGCGGTCCGGCCACCACGCCAGTGGCGGGGCAGCAGCGGACTCGGTGGCAGCAGCGGCCTCAGTTGAAGAAGCGGCCTCTGTTGAAGAAGCGGCCGCACTGGCGGGAGCGCTAAGGACAGAAAATCCGGTCAAAGAAATGGCATTTAAGGCGGCAGGATACGCAAATTGAAGTTGTCGGATCAGGCTCAAAATTTGCACACGTATTCGGGACATCACAGGGAGGCGAGCCACAAATTTTTTTTGACCTGGCTCAATTTTGAACAAAGTTATTGAACTTTCAAAACCTCAAATTTCCTGCAGTTCGATCTCAAAAAGTAGAAGTCCTAGAAAAAAAATAATGGCAGATTCGTAAATCGGGCGACGAGATCTAGGTCGGCGGGTATGTGGGAAGTTTGTGCAAAGATATTTAGACGTTAAAATTCGATGTTCAAAGTCGTCAATTTTGAGGCCATTTTTCACCGGACTATATTGGATGCAGCTAACCACTTTCAAGAGCCGCCATACACCCGACGCCCTAGGCCCTGATGTTCCCTTCAATATGCTGTAAACCTTTTTTCCCTAGGACAAGTATTTTTTGAGATCGAACTGCAATAAAAAGACCCTGTTTTTGCCTCATTTTCCCCGTTTTGAACTTGGCGGTCGTTTGCCGGAGCGCTGGAAGGTGGCGCGGTGGAAAGGACAGGAACTACGTGCAGGCCGGCCGGCCCGAGTGACGTCTTTGTGACGGACAGCGTGCCTCGCTCGCTGCTACCTGCGGCCGGTATTGTCTCCGCCCGCCGCCTTCCCTCCCCCTCCCCCTCCCCTCCCCTAGGCAGCCCGAGCTAAGCCGGAGCTGCACTGCGCTGGGGACTGAGGCGGCCGGTGCGGAGAAGCGGTGTGCGAGCCCAGCCTTGGCTCCGGCTGATATCGGACCAAATCGAACTTAAATCGTGGACGTGACGCGGCGATTTGAAATTGGCGAAAAGATGTGAAACCATTTGATGGTGCCCGGCCTTAGAGATCATTTATACCCTATGGCAGATATCAAGCTTCAACGGGTATCAAATTGATCGAAAAAGAGACCGCAAACTCATGGTGCCCATCCGCCCCAGTTTGATTCGAGCATTTAAATTCTGAATTTGCTACGTAGGCGTGCTGAAGCGCCGCGCCCAGCCGCGCGTCTCGCTGGTCGGCTGCCGCTCCCCCCCACTCTTCGCCCCGGGGCCACGTCTCTGGCTGCAGTCCGTCGCCCGAGGTGCGACGCTGGCCTTACAGATCATTTATACACCTATGGCAGATATCAAGCTTCAACGGGTATCAAATTGATCGGAAAAGAGACCGCAAACTCATGGTGCCCATTCGCCCCAGTTTGATTCGAACATTTAAATTTTGAATTTGCTAGTAGGCGCGCTGCAGCGCCGCGCCCAGCCGTGCGTCTCGCTGGTCGGCTGCCGCTCCCCCTCCACTCTCCGTCCGGGCCACGTCTCTGGCTGCAGTCCGTCGCCCGAGGTGCGACGCTGGAGAGGATTACTGCATGATTGACAGGTCACCTGTCCCAGCCGGCGGGGGAGGAGGGGGGCTGGAGGGGGAGCGCACCGACGCAGAGGTAACGGGACTTGCGGCTCGGCGAGGAGCTCGGTGCATCCCGGGAGAAAACGCGTATCTGTATGGCCATACCTGCGCAGATATGCCTCGCCACTACCGCCATCTCTCGGACAATGCCTACACTTTTGGCATAGTTATTGGCACGGAGTATCGCCTTGGGGTATTGCCATCAGAGACTTTATGCCAAATCAGAGGAGCCGACCGTATCCGGCCGCCTTAAGATGGCATTAGAAATTTGAAGGGGAAGAGGGATGACTCCATTTTCGTGGTTTTAACATGTACTTGAGTCTTCTCTGTAAACTCAACAGTGTACAACTCAGTACTCTCTCTTTAGAGTGTACTCACGAGTACACTCCCACGAACCTGTCACACGCTACATACACCACATAGAGTGTACTGAGCACACTGTTGAGTTTGCAGGGTCATTATCTTCAACATTCCCGAACATTCCTTTATTTTGATTTATTTATCCCTGTATCGGCTATTTTCCCCCTGGAAAATGGGCATTGGACATCCCCTTCGTCCACTTCCCGGATACGCTCTCATTCCAGGAACGTGACAAACGAACGAGACAAAATGTCACGTTCGTTTGAGCATTGTGTCACATTCGTTTGAATGTGAACAAGCTGGTTTTAGGCCAATTCACACCCTATAACGAATGTGACACAATGCTCAAACGAACGTGACATTGTCTCGTTCGTTTCAACGTGATGTCACGTTCCTGGAATGAGTGTGATTAATTGTGTATCGTGACAGAGTCTACTCAAAAACTAAGCGACAGACTCTTGGAATGAGAGTGATCAAGTGTGTGTCGTTACAGAGTCTACTCAAAAACTAAGCAACAGACTCCTGGAATGAGAGTGATCAATTGTGTATCGTTACAGAGTCTGCTCAAAAACTACGCAACGGCCAAAATGGCAATTGAGGATGAGTGTGTTGCGAACATGCAGCAACGGAGCACTGCCAATCAACTTACCCATCCGGAGACTTGTCCTGCTTGTCCTCCTGCTTCTCCAGCAGCACGTCCAAGTGCACCAGCCTGGGCATCTCAAGCTGGGCGACGCTGCTCAGCGCGGCCAGCGACACCTTGACCAGCTCCAGCTTCTGGACGCCAGGCGCGGCCCGCCGCACCAGCCCCACTTTCTGCTCGTCAGTCCCCGCATGGTCCTTGAAGTTCACACTCAGCGCAACCTGTCAACAACCGTTCAACATGCTTAAAAACCTTACGAAGTATTTTGAGCATATGCATGATACAAACTATTTAGTTTGTTAAGCGAAGTAACAGTTCGTAAAGAACTTGGTACTTTCTTTAAAAGCCTCTGTATGCTTTTGTACACCTTTGCGGTTGCATTGACCAAGAAATGCATGGTAATAATAGACCTAAGTCCATTGGCAAGGTGCTTGGTCCCCAAACACCTTTGGCCTCGGCAACAGCCAGGAGCTAGAGCTCTGTTAAATCTACACGGTGAAAAGGGAACCTGGTTTTCCCAGGAAGCCTATGGTAGAGACATAGGCGATTTCCAGGGAGTTCCTGGGAAAACCAGGTTCCGTTTTTACCGTGTAGTGGGCTAGACAAAAGATGTCTCGAAACTTGGCACCTGGGGTCGCCTCGAAATAGGGCACTCAGGCGCCTCCTGGCGAGGCACCTAAAGACGCTTCAAAACCAAGGGGAAATCACTGTGAATTTCGGTTCAAATCCAAAGAATTTCAGACAAATTTCGACGAATTTCAGTTGAGTTTCGATAAATTTCAGTCGAATTTTGATCAAAATTCAATGAATTTCAGTCCAAATTTGATGGAATCTCAGTCAAATTTCGATAAATTTTGATGAATTTTAATGAATTTCTGTGAATTTCTGTGAATTTAACAAGTTTCATGAATTTCGATGTTCAAATTAGGGTGGAGTTATCTCCCCTTGTCAAAAACTAAGGCAGGCGTTAAAAGACGCCGAGTTTCAGAGCTCCCCTGAATAACAGTGTCGACTTACACTATAGCTTTGCCTGTTACGCTACTTACCAGCTGGGTGGTGTGCGACGTCCCAGCCTGGGCAGCACCGACGTTCGGACGCCGTTTGCCGCCACCACGTCCACGTCCTGAGTTGCCGGCCCGCTTCATGGTCGGTAGAGCGTTGATGCAGAAGCCTGCAACGAGCGAGTGACTGAGCGCACGCTTAAAACCTTACGCAGTATTTCGAGCAACTAGCAACATTTGTAGTTGGTCAACGACTCGTTTTTGAAGGTGGACTGTTGATGTGTTGTTACAAGTTTGCTGTTGTGAAATTATCCTTTAGTTCCAGTAGGTAGGACTATGGCTTAACAAGCTATTCGTTCCCCAACAAATCTTTTCGCCAAAAAAATTAGCAATAAGTGTGATGCTAAAGTTACGATAACATTTTTTTAAGTACGGATAGTATTTTGTTTGTAATACGGATGTTCACTGTGAAAATTTGATATCACTGTATGACATAAACGTGGATGATATTTTCATCACTTTGAAATGATGACAATCTCATCACAAACTGACGACATTTTCATCAAAGCTCCTATACTTATTGCATGGGCGTGACAACAATGTCATCAATTTGATTTGATGACATTACTGTGAGGAAAATGAGCCTTGAAATTGTCAACAAGTGACGACTCAAATTTTCCGTGTTTTTGTCCGTAATTCAAAGGTTTTGATGTCCGTAGTTTACAGATAATTTCGTTGTAACATACGGATACACCTTTGTACAATTACGGACAAAAACATCCAGACTAAACACTTTATTCGATCCGTAATGTGGCTGCACAAAACCATCCGTAACCTACAAACACGGCGTGCGTGCACTGAAAATACGGAAGGTCATACTCAAATGAGGGTCAAACTGAAATGCCTGACCGGAAGAGTCATTCTGAAACGAGTGACCGAAAACCGTGTCATGTTTGCTTTTGTATCAATCACAGATAGGTGGATACATCCCCACGCCAAACAAGGGACAATGTCGGTGATGTCTGACCCTATAATGGCTATACATTTCAGATTGACCCTTTTACGGCCATACATTGGAGTAGCCTTTTCTTTAACACACTTAAAGTATCGCCGAACACGGGTCAGATTTCTGACGCTGTGAATTTCACTTTGTCATCAAGGGGATCTTTAGAGAGGGAAACCACTCGCGTAACAGTGAGGGTCGCCGATTACTTGGAGTAAGCGTGATGGTAAATGTCTGAGTATGCTTAATATCTTAAAGTTGACTAATGTTAGAGGCTTATTTAAACGAAAATATCGGAAATTGCTGGAGAGAGAGAGGCGTGATGGCAGTAATCACCAGACTGAACTAGAAAAAGAGAACTTCAAAGGAGGCTTGTCCCGGAACCCAAAGGCTGCCTTTTCCACCGGAAACACTCAAAGCTAGCGTGGTTCTTTGATTTGAATACGTCACGGTGGTAAGTATTTCAGAACTAGAAATACATGAGACCCCCTATGGTACAACATTTGACACCGTTACGCCTACAAATAAGCTCGTTGCAAACGAGTTTCCACTCAAAATTGCGCCTCTTGGCTTCCGGAAACTTTCTATGAAGTACCCTATTGTTTCCGAATTCCCCACACTTAGAAGCTAGTTAAAACAGAAACGTCGACAGATTCCGGTGAAATCATTCTCAGCGTTTAACACCTTCGCGCCGAAGCCAAACCTAACCTGCAGCCGGTACGAGAACGTGGTTCTCGTACCGGCGTGAAGGTGTTTTAAGTAAGTGGTCAGGTTACCGTTTGAGAGGTTGAGATCAGTCTTAGCAGCAGGTTACCGTTTCAGTGGTTGGTTGATGTCCCCAAATGGATCTTCGGTACAGGAGCAGCGGAAGACAGTGCTTCAACGAAAGTCGAACTGGAATAGGAGAAAGAGGGGTAGAGAACTGTCCCAAGTTTCAAGGCCCTAACACGGAGGAGTACCACGTCAGAACCAAGTAACGGCTGCGACTGCTCAGGAGTGCTAGCCGACGAGAGGACGGAGAAGAGTTGCCCGTTGCCCTCACACGATTGGAGACATGCAACTGTCTTCAGTGCCTAGCCAAGGATGCAAAGAGCGTTGCATTTGACAACCCTTTCCCTTCCCGCGCATTAAAACGAAGACAATTTCCAAATGCTCCCAAGCACTAGGCATAGGTTTGACATTCGAATCAGGTCTGGGGGAATACTCATCGCCACACGCTCTAGGCGTACCCTGCACTGAAAATAGAGTACTTCAAAGAAGCTCTGGCCCGGAAGAAGAAGAACAAAAACGGAAGTAAGAAATCTCAGTTTCTATGAAAAATATACGCTGTGCGTGAGGTCCGCAGCGTATAGTTCTCATAGAAATTGCAATTTCTTATTTCCGTTTTTGTTCTTCCCGGTTCTTCCCCTTCTGGGCCAGAGCTTCTTTGGAGTACTCCATGAATGAGTCACAATCAAGATCACTTTCATTTCCTATCAAATGGGTGACGCAGTGTACGCCTAGAGCATGGAAAAGGGGCAGTCCATAGGAATTCCGTCAGACTTGAGTCGAATACCAATCCAGATGTATCCAGATGATAAACAGCAAGATAAGATAGATGTCGACAATCAACAACTGTGCAAGAAGTGATCCCCAATCACTGTCCAGCTTGTGAAAATGCCATCTGGTTCGGCAGCGATCTAGTCAAACGTGAAACACACCGTAGGGTACTTCAATGAGGCCTGAAACGGAAGTAGAAGAAGAATAAAAGTGAGTACTACAACAGCTTCAGCGCACCGGGTGGTGGGGAAACGTCGGCTCGTGCGTAGCAGCCGGTAGCAGCTCTTAAAAGGCTTACTTTTGACCTTCTTCCGTTTTAGTCATCCGCCCGGGGGTGTCCCGATGACTCACAAACTTCTGCAATACGGTACAGCAATGGAGACAAGCGGAAGAAGAACAAAAGTAAGCCCTTCATACGGCTTCTGCGCATGCGCAGACAGACGTTCCCCCACAACCCGGTGCGCATGCGCAGAAGCTGTGTTTAGGGCTTACTTTTGTTCTTCTTCCGTTTCAAGATTCATAAGTTTACCCTTATGACAGGAGATGCAAGATGCAAAGCCAATGAGTGGCGACTAGTCGAGCCAGCGATAGGTGAACATAAATTGAGGCATCCGCGTTTTAATCGTTAAGGTGACCGTCATTGAAAAGGCACTTCATGAGTTTAAAGATGTCTCTAGACCAAATAAAAAATTGTGCAGTTATTCCACAGACGTGGCCTTCGGGATAGTGACAATTCGGCCTAGTGATGATTCGGGCTAGTGAGACACAACCATAATATTGCAAAAGGACGGAACTACTTCAGGAAATTCGGGCTAGTGATAATTCGGGTTAGTGACAATTCGGGTTAGTGAAACTGCCTTGTGGGATGTTCGGGCTAGTGATAATTCGGGCTAGTGAAGATTCTGGTTAGTGACAATTCGGGCAAGTGATAATTCGGGTTAGTGAAGAACTCCCGCTCAGTCAAAACAAGACAATAAAATTCAAATATCTCTCTGTTAACTTGCAGTATAGTTGAAAAAAAAAAGGGTTGTTTCTCCACTTTTTACCATTTAAAGGTAAACGGTTTAAGAAAGTGGATAGCTATTTGAAATATCTCTCTGTTACATTGTCACATGGACCACAAAGAACTACTCCAAGAAGTATGGTAAGCTTAAAACAAAACTGTATGCGTGGCTAGTTGCCAGAGTAGAAAAAAATTTCTTCGGCACTTGTTGTAAGAGTTGGGTGACCAGAAAAGGCGCATGCATACATCAGTCCATCTTAGATGAACCACTCACTGAGGGGTCATAACCCAGACCTCTAGGACATGCTGACGGTAATAGAAGAATAGTTTACATTAAAATAACAAGTGGATTAAATTTATCATATTAATCAATTTTGGTGCAAATTTTCACCCACACCTCTCCTTAAATACCCATTATGAAGTCCATGCATTTCTTCACCTTCTGACAATCCATAGGGAAAATTTAACTGGCGCTAAATGGGTAACTATTCATGCTGAGGTGGTGAAGGACCTGAGCGATATGTATGGTGCGACAACTAGTACTCAGCATTGGGCTGTCAAAAGGAAGTCCCTGATGGATTCCTACAGGAGCTACAAGAAATATGGCCAAAGCGTTATCACATGGCCATATTTTCGTGACATGGCCAAACTTGATAAGAGAGCAGAGCTTTCCTGTGCTGTGGTCGGTCATAACCTGCAGTCTTGTACTTCTGACCAGAACAACTGGCAAGCAAGGGGAAAGCAAACTAGCCGAGCCGGCTACCAACTGGCCACGGCAGACGCAGTAGCAGTGTTCTCAAAAGGTAAGCGACTTATTTGCACGTTACAATTAATGAATAAACTCACATCAATATTGTTTCATGAATCTGCTAATTTGTTTCCAGGTGCCTTCATTACTACCAAGGGAATCAAAAAGATGATTGGCCTAATGAAAGAAATGCAACACCGGTTTGATTCGACTGAACGATACACATTCATTTGGAAAGAGATTCAGGTTTAAATGGCCGTGCACGGGTATTATTATGACGTCAGCGTTATGACTAAACTTTTGATGAATTAACAACGGAGCACAAAAATTAGAAAGTAAATGCTAAGACGTCTGGAGCAGGAGGAGTCAACTGGGACTTGTGGGAAGACACGTGCGACTTAATGGATGGTAGAGAGAATGTTGATCCATTACTTGTAGTGTCTGCGGGTAGAACCAACCGAGTTGAAAGCAGATTGGAGACAACTTCCAGGCCATCATCGTCCGAAGCATCTGCATCGTCCTCATCATCCTCATCTAGTGGTTGGCAACAATCTGTCGCCCATTCATTAGTGCACCTAGTTGATCACATAACCAGGCATTAGTTGTGTTATGCATCATGGTTATGTTATATTGTTTGTTCAAACGTTTGGTTAAAAGCAATCAAAAAAACTAATGCCTCGCGCAGCTGTCATTTTGAAAGTACCTTGACCACAGTCTTCCTACAGCCATGAGTTATAGTCTCGTGCTTCAACCCGACCCCGTCATCGTCGGCAGTGACACCCATAGCAAATCCTGATCGGTGCGCCATCAAATTAATGTACCTCTGAACCTGTGACAGGACAACTTGTACTTCAGCGTTTGAGCAATCAAAAGAGCAAGAAACATTTAATCTTCACCGATTCACGGAGACTTCAGGTGCCATCAGGACCCATGTTTGTTTCGTGTGTGAATACGCATTCGGATTGAAATAGACATTTTAGTGGATGATTAAGGTGCACTTAGGTGCACGCGGGTGGGGAAGGGGGGGGGGGGGGGGGGGGGGGGTCAGGCTAAGAAGGAAACAGTTGCGTAGCGGGAGCCATTGAATGACAACAAATAATTTATTTCCTGTTCAATGTCAAGCATATAATCACCAATTTCAATCATGATTAATTACAATAGTAACTATTCATCATGAGGATGTAGCAAAAATCTTATGTAAGTCTCTCTTTCGTCGACCAGCTCTCCTAGCCGGTCCTAAAAGGGAACAAACTCTGGTATATTAACCTCAGCATTTCTAGTATTTTCATCAACATTATTAGGATCAGGATCATCAACATTTTCATCAACATTATATCTTTCGCGAGGGTAGAGCGGCCCGACACGAAGGCAGCCCGAAGGCCGAAGCCGTGTGAAGGCGACGGACGACTGCCGAACCTCCGTTGCCGGGACGAACAGCAGAAAAGCGTGTCGCAGCGAGTTTGTATTTGTTTTCTTTCACCTCTTTGTTGAATAACGTGGAGGAAAGCACATTTGAGCTAAAACTCTTTAAGAAGAGCCACAGACACAAGCTGCCAGATTTTGAGGCGCTTTAGACCTTCGGCTGGCTAGCATCACCACTGCCGGTTGCTGATTTTCGTCTTGGTTGTCTGCTCGGAATGCTTTCGGTGTTCGTCTAGTAATTTTCGAGATCCTGCACACTAAACTTCTTACGGATACATCCTATCTGTATTACGGACATTTTTGTGCAATTGCAATTTCCGATAGATTTTGTTTGTAATACGGATGATTTTATCCGTAATACAAAGGTTTTCGTGTCCGTAACATACAGACGAAAATATCCGTATGGTACGGACGTAAAACTCTATGTAATAGAGTACTCCAAAGAAGCTCTGGCCCGGAAGAAGAAGAAAAAAACGGAAGTAAGAAATTGCAGTTTCTATGAGAAATATACGCTGCGCATGAGGGTCCGCAGCGTATATTTCTCATAGAAACTGCAATTTCTTACTTCCGTTTTTGTTCTTCTTCTTCCGGGCCAGAGCTTCTTTGGAGTACTCTATACGGATGATTTCATCCGTATTACAAGCAAAATCTATCCGTAATTGCAATTGCACAAAAATGTCCGTAATACAGATACGATGTATCCGTAAGAAGTTTAGTGTGTGCCTGATATGGGCAGCTTCCTTCGAACAGGCAATAAATTGACCCACGTTTCCACATCTTTTCTCGTTCATTGATCGAGGCGAGTTCTTAGCTGTTGGTTTGGGGCCTCGGTATCTGTTGGAAGTGCATAGTGTGTTCTAATGCACTGTCTGTAGTGCTCTCGTTTAATAGCTTCCCAAGAAACTTTTCAAGACACTTAGTCAGACTTGGATTGCTATGTGCTTTTGATTCCTACAACTCAGCCATATCTTGAAGCATCTTACATAGACAATCAACTATATCCATAGACCAACTGCTTCATGCCCAGGCTGGGATCTATGTGTTACGCCGCTCCCTGATTGGTCAGTACCTTTCACTTCACTGGTCATTGGTCGGCTTTGATCACCAAGCTGCCTCGGCAGCGAACGCCGCGTCCTGATTGGTCGAGGAGGCTCGAGCTCCACCAATCAGGACGCGGCGTTCGCTGCCGAGGCAGCTTGGTGCAGTCGATGCCACACTTGTCGAAGAGTTTATATCACTTTAAGTTGATGTTCAGCTGCTTTCAGTGGGTGAAAAAGAAGCTCACATAAATAAGGAATGTCATCAAACGGCTCGATTTTTAAAATGAACTTTAACTTTAGAGCCTCAGAGGAAGTTTTACGGTGGAACACCGCTCGTGCCGCTCGTGCCGACAGCTGATTGTTTTTAACTTGGTATTTATACCAACAAGCTTTACTCAAAAAGCAAGAGCCAGAAACATAGATTTGAACATGCTGAATGCAATCAGTCCACTAAAATTTACAATTTTCG